TAGATAGATAGATAGATATTTAACTTAACCTAAAAAAACTTTATTATTTTACTTTTATTTTTCATTTCATTTTATATGTTACTTTATATTGCTATTTATTTCCTAACATTTTTTTAGCTTACCCATACCTATGTTAACTCAGTACTTACATTTTTTTATTTAATTTTACTGTAGTTAATTTAAAGTTAACTTTAAGTTGAAGTTAGATTGAAAAAATAATAATACAATTTTTAAAAAACTTTTTATTCATATTTTTCTATTACTAATTTAATTTTAAACATAACTTTCTTTGCATAGATTTTTTTTTATGTTTCGATGATTTTGTGTTTTGTATGTTAAACCTGAACTTTACGTGCAATGTATTTTAATTTGATGGTATTTGTTCATTCAGTTGCTGTATAATTTAATGTTGTGTGTTTTTGATCGGGTATAGCTGTAACGCTGTACTGATTTTACTGTACCATATATTCGGTTTTTTTCTCAATGAGCTGGGTCGTGAATGACGCAGAAGCTCCAACAGCGAATCACGAGCGTCCAATAGCGGAAAAGAGTGAGGGAGCCTCAGAGCCACATAGCACAGTTCTGTGAAGTAACTACTGCATATATACTGCTGTTAATTCAATATTACCAGTTTTATATCTCAAAAACTTTGCAGTGAGCTGCCCCAACAAGCTGAAATGAAGACACTAGTTGTAGGAGTTGGCGGGTAAGTCCAAAGGATTGTAAACATTAATGTGTTGATGTCTTGACTTCCCCCACAAAACAAGCTTGTTATTGTTCTCCTTGAGTGATTTTGCATCCAGATAGGCTTTGACCTCAGATAGTATTTTTCGTGCTTAACGTTTTACATGCAACAAGAGATACAAAGTGAAAACACAGGTTGCTTTTAGTTGAGCCTTTATTCAACGTGTCACTTGGTGTTTTATTGTGTAAGTGACAAGACAGCAGGTTACAGAAAGACACCAGAACATGAATTAATACTACTGGATTACATGTTAATATTGGCTAACATACATTGAGTGGGAGCAGCAGGGGCACCATCAGATCAATACAGCATGTGACAACCATGTGGCATCTGAGACTGATAAGAGATGGTTGCTTTACAGAGAAAAGAGATAATGCGCCTCTGTAGCAGTGCTAAGAGCTTTTTATTATTTCTGACATTAATTGCACATTCTGCAGAAAGGTGCGTAGAAAGATGAAATCAGGATGCCTGGCGAAGGTCTATTAAATACTGCTCACAGTCTGTGTGCAGGATTTATGTACTTCCTTTTCAGATATTTTCTAATGGGACTGGTGTTCAAATATTAACTCACTGTCTGTTCTAGTTTCAAGTGTGTTGCACTTCAGACCACACAGATGTGTACCGACCACATCCTGACTGACATAATTTTTTGAGGCTTAAACGAGAGTTTAAAAAAACTGCTAAATATATATATTAAGTGGTATTTCATATTTATTTTCATATTTCATAACACATTTTTAATTAAAAAACCATTACATTTGTCTTTTAAACAATTTTAGCCAAAATATGTACTTGAGTGTGACATTTTAAATGTTGGCTGATTGCTCAGTCAGGCTCTGGTGCTGACACGCCCTGGAGTACACATCTACACCACTAGCTGTTTAAGTGGTGCAGCTCTAAAATATACAAAAGGTGTTTTTAGTGATATGTTTTCTTTCAGGATGACCAATGGAGGGAAATCTACTCTTTCTAGTAGTCTACACCAGCAGATACCCAACAGCTGCATCATTGCACAGGATTCATATTTTAAGGTAGAGTGTAAGAGATTCTTTAAATATTATCACTGCATTTTACACTTTTGAAGTCATGCAGGAAATCTGAGAGCTTGAGTGATAACAGCGGATGATTTTATTCTTCAGGATGATTCGGCGGTTCCAGAGGACAGCAATGGGTTTAAGCAATATGACAGTAAGGAGAATAAATCCTTTCTTAACACTGATGTTGGAAATATACTGTGAGTATTTAGACCCACTACTGTGTTGCAGTTACACAATTTGATCACATCATGTCACGTGAAGACATTTTCACTGCAGCTGTAGTCCATCCATCTGAAAATGGTGGATAGATTTATGTATGGATGGATAAGTGTAAGGGAGTAGCCACCGTTAAGAACACTGAGGTCATGTCCTTGGTGTTTTTTCTGGGAATTTGGGGAGTTTTGTGCAGATGGTGGAAAAATAATTATTCCCAATATATTTAATACTGACTTCTATTAGGCCAAAACAAAGATAAAATACTTAAATGGTTAATCAGTTATCAGTCTTGTACTTTTCTGATTGTGTTCTGTTTAAGTACTTGATGCTCTCCACATGGACACGATGATGAGCGATGTTGACTCATGGCAAAGAGATCCTGAGACGTTCCAGAGGCAGCGGGGCCTGGACCCAGAGCGCACAACACCCTCAGCCGGTCGTGAGGTGTTTGTGCTGATAGTGGAAGGCTTCCTAATTTTCAACTACAGGTACACGAGGGAGGGTTTAGTGAAGTTACTGTGTTATCATTTCAACATTTTATTTTACGGATCTAGAATTAGATTTCAACTTAAATTGTTATTGTTTTTGCAAAGTAACCACTCAGTTGTGGTTTATTTCTGACCATAAGTGTTACCTAGGATTTATTTAATGATGTGAAAATGTATCTCCTAATAATAACAAATGCTTTAACTCTCTGTTGTGTTTTACTTTTCCAGGCCTCTGAATGAGCTATTTGACAAAAGATACTTCATTGAAATACCTTACGATGTCTGCAAGAGGAGACGAAGGTGTCAGATTTGATCTTTTATCTCTTTTCTTTTTTACTTTTTAATAAGTTTTGTCTCCATTTAATTTCATTTTTTTAATGATTGAGTTAAAAAAAACAAGAGAAAAAGTTTGTTTCTTCATGTTTTACCTATGAGGCTGTCTTTGATTAACAGTTCGAGGGTGTACACGCCTCCTGATCCTCCGGGCTACTTTGAAGGACACGTGTGGCCAATGTACCTGAAGAACCGTCAGGAGATGGAGAAGATGGTGTCAGGAATTGGTGAGTGTCCAGTTAAAGATACCATGTGTTTAGCATGTGACGCTGATGCGGTAAAGACTGGGATTTATTGGAGCAGATGGGGTATTAATGTGTTTGAGACCTGAAAAATGATGATAAACTAAATCTATTGTCACTGTAGCAGATGTACAAGTGTAAAATAATAAAATAAATTAAGCTTATTTGTTCAACATCTGTTTTTTTTAGTATTTCTGGATGGACTGAAGCCAAAGGAAGAGCTTCTGGCTGCTGTGTGTAAAGATGTTTGTCAGGAAATAGAAAGGCTCAGGGGTAAGCTGCCTAAAGCTGGGATGTGATTAAGACAATGTTTCTTGTGTTCAAGTCTTCTGCCATAAAAACTTTCTAACGATTTACTGCATTTTATAGTTTATAAAATATTTCTGGAGCAAATTATTTAAATGTTTGCAGCTGTGAGTTGTCCTTAGATTAGCCTGGTACATTGCATTGTGGGACAATAGTGTACATCCACAGCACACTCACAAATGTTGTTTAGTACGCACGCTGACATTTTAATGGTTAACTTTTTCAGTGCGAGCACACTACATACTTAAAACCTGCTAGAACTATCATGTAGTTTTGTACTGGGATAAAGTTGCCTTGTAACGTGTAGATAATAATGGTTTTAAAGGAGTTTTAGGAAAGACATAATTCATGTTTTTTTTTACTCCTACCTTTGAGACAGACCTATTACATACAATACATCAACAACAAATTATATAAGTCATAAGACAAATCAAACAATTTTCTACTAAATTTGTGTTTTCCTTATCCTTTGTGAATGAGCCTGAATTA